TGGAAACGGTTGATGAATGGCCCTCAGCTGCTCGCTGGCTTTCCTCAGTGCATGCAGGGCTCCCAGCAACAGCCAGCTGTCTAAAGACGACTCCGAAACTGCTCAGAAGTCTGAGGCACTGGCCAGGCATGGTAAGCTCACGCCTAAAATCCCAGCACTTTGGGAGGCCAAGTCAGGTGGATCATGAGGTCAGGCGTTTGAGACCAGCCTGGCCAAGATGGTGAAACCCCATCTCTACTAAAAACACAAAAATTAGCTAGGTGTGGTGGTGTGCACCTGTATTCCCAGCTATTTGGGAGGCTGAGGCAGAGAATCGCTTGAACCTGGGAGGTGGAGGTTGCAGTGAGCTGAGATGGTGCCACTGCACTCCAGCCTGGGTGACAGAGCGAGACTGTTTCACACACACAAAAAAATCTGATGCATTGCACCCAGCAGCATGTTCCTTCCATGGACATCTCATCCCAGCTCACCACTGGGGAAGGTTTTAGCGATTGCTCCCTTGTGCTAGGGACTCTGAGTACCCACCTACCCTCAGCAGTGGGATTCCTTAAGGTGAACCAGCCCATAAGAGCATGCAGGGGTCAGAGTCCTTGGACTCCTCCAGGCACCAAGTGGTGGAAGGGGAGGGGTGGGGGTAGGATGCCACTGGCTATTGGGGCACAGCAGGGTCCATGTCACCTGGAGAAGAGGAAGTGGGGCCAAGAAGCCAGCAGGTCCCTCCTGGGGCTCAGCTGGCAAAACTGCTTGACCCTCCCTGGCCATGGTAGCAGAGGGCTGGGGACATGGCTGGGCATGGGGATGTGGGGATGGTGGCCATTGATGAAGGCCTGTCACAAGGGCAATAACATCTGTGATCAGCACCTGGGTGTGGAGCTGGCTGGGTTCATGACACCCCAGGCTTCCGACATGGGACAGATCATAAGAACTGTGACCTGCATTTTGGCCCTGGAGGGACAGAGGGGAATCTGTGGGCTGCGGGAGAAGAAGTAATAACGCAGTGCCTGGTGCGGTTCGAGTTAGATTTTCCGCAGGAGGACATGTCTGTGTCGGTGAGTGTGCCTGGCGCCGTGGGACGGCCCCACGTCCAGGTGGCAGTGGCGAGTGTGTGAGCAGGAGCCTCCGAGCGGCCACCTCCAAGCTCACATCTGAGGTAGCCAGGACCTAGAAGGAGCCAGGCCAGCTGGGCCACACACTGGGCCAAAGGTTCCTGGTGACAGACACGGAGGGGAGCTGTCCAGGCTGCACGTGACCTGCAGGGGCTGGGCCTCCACCTCCCCACTGCCTGTCCTCTTTGTGGCAGGGGTGCTGGGACCCAGGGTGGCCCCCCAGTGTTTGAGAGAAGTGGGTCCCCCCTTTGGAGCTTGGACAATTCAGGGAAGTGGAGATGGCGATGGGAGGGGCTTCCTAGATTCACAGCAGGCGAGCACGAAGCTCTGAGCTAGGACCCTGGAGGGGATTGTATGGGCCCTGAGTGTGGGGAGGGTCAGCCATCCTCAACGCTGGGCATGCAGCCATCTCAGGACCCTGGGTGACTGCTGTGCCCATTTCACACAGAGGCCGGAGGTTTGAATCGCCTGCCCAGGGACCCAGAGTAGCTGGGTGGAGCCCCTACTCGGGGGAGCCCCCAGCTCTCCTACAGTCAGCCCCAAGCATGTGTGAGAGGCTGGGGAGGCTAAACTTTGGGGGTCTTCTCGAGGGTTTCCCAGTCTCAGGAGGGCATTCCTACTGGCCCCTCCAACTCTGGGTCTGCCACAGCCACTACTGGGGTCTGAGATCAACATCTCCAGCCTGAGCCCAATAGAAGCTGCATGTGGACCTTCAAATTTTCCCATGGGTTGGAGCCAAGAAATTCAAGAATAGCTCCAGCAGCAGAGCCCCCTCCTTTGGAGCCAGGCTGAACCTGATGACCCTGAGAGAACACTTGCCTTGGGGACTTCTGCTAGGTTCAGCACAGTTACCACACAGCATCAAGAGGAAGCTTGGGGTGTCCGGTGGGATAGGAGGGGGCCCAGGGCAGCTGCAGGTGTCTAACTCTGCTCAGAAACAACACAGCACTCTCTAGGACCCCTGGGACCTCCCTAGCAGGCAAGAGGCCAGGGTGGCAGCCTCTCTTGCCCAGACACATCTGACACCTCCCTCCTGACACTGGCAATCCTAGACTGGCTCTGCATGTCCCCAGGCCTTGCACAGGATGGATAGGTGGATAAATGTACAGATGGATGGATGGGTAGATGGATAGACACATGCGTGGATGGGTAGATGGGTGGATAAATGAGTGAATGAATGGATCTATGATGGATGGATGGTGGGTGGATGAATGAGTGGATGAGTAGAGGGGTGTATGGATGGTTGGAGGGATGGGTGGATGGATGGATGGATGGGTGGGAGAACGGAATGGTGGATGGGTAGGTGGGTAGAGGGATGGATGGATGGGTGGATGGTTGGATGGATGGATGGGTGGATGGATGGGGGAATGAACTCATGCTGGTGTCTAACTCTCACCAATTGTGAAACAGCACAGCACCCTCTGGGGCCCCTGGGACCTCTCCAGGAGGCAAGAGTCCACAGTGGCAGCCTCTGTTAGCCAGAGGCATGCTGGGCCCTGTTCTGTGTTCTGGGAGGACACAAAGGAGGTAAGCCCACAGGCCAAGCCCACAGGAGGCCACCCCACAGCCAGGGAGACATTGCAGGGCCTCTAAGAAAGGTACAGAAGGCACTGTTGGGAGCAGGAGATGGTCCCTGAGAGAAATGATGGCTGAGTTGGTTTTAGGAGACATATACATTTCCTGGGGGACCAACCTCCCTTGAGCCCACTGCTGGGCAAAGCCAGGTACAGCTTGGTCTGGAGAGGATTTCAAGAGCATGAGGATGGTAGGATTTGGCGTGGGTCTGGAGAGGGGCATGAATTAGACTGAGAGGGCTGTGGGGGTACAGAGGGCCTTGAGAATTATGCCAGGGGTCTGGATATGCTCAGATGGCAGTGGGAGGCCAAGATTGTTGTTTTGTTTTGAAATATAACAAACAGCTTTATTGAAATATGTTGCATACTGTACAATCCGCCCACAATTCCGTGTACAATTCAGTGGTTCTTAGTATATTCAGAGAGGTGTGCAGCCATCACCACCATCAACTTTAGAAAATCCTCATCACTCCTGAAACCCTGTACCGGTGAGTACTCACTCCCCCTCCCACCTCCCAGCAGCCCCTCCCCTCGCCCCGGCAGCCCCTCTCACCCCCCACCACCCCCACCCCGCACCTCGCAGTCTACTTTCTGTCTCTTTGCATTTGCCTATTCTGGACAGTTCATAGAAATGGAATCATACAACCTGTAACCTTTGTGTCTGACTTCTTTCACTGAACATAAAACTTCCAGCTGCAGCTGTGTTGTAGCATGGATCAGAAAACTTCATTCCTTTTTAAGTCTGAGTAATATTCCACCGTATGTGTATCCGTTTTTTTGTTTTTGTTTCCCTCTTGTTGCCCAGGCTGGAGTACAATGAGGCAATCTCAGCTCACTGCAACCTCCACCTTCCAGGTTCAAGCGATTCTCCTGCCTCAGCCTCCTAACTAGCTGGGATTACAGGTACCCACCACCATGCCCAGCTGATTTTTTTTTTTTGGTATTTTTAGGAGAGACAGGGTTTCACCATACTGCCCAGGCTGATCTTGAACTCCTGACCTCAGGCAATCCATCGGCTTCGGCCTCACAAAGCGCTAGGATTATGGACCTGAGCCACTGCGCCCGGCCCTGTGTTTGGTCTTACGGGACATTTGGCTGTTTTAAACATTCCTGTTGTAAATACAGGTGTGCACGTTTTTATGTTGACACAGAGTAGGCTTTAAGCAGCAGGGGCATGATCAGATTTAAAGGGGTTGTTCTTCCTGCAGGTGGGAATGGGGGTCAGATGGAGAAAAGAGTCCAGAAAGGCTTGGCCAACCCTTGGGGAAGTATCACCCACACTGTCCCCAGTTCCCAGCATACACACATGCACACGCACATGTATGTGTGGACATCTGAGCAGCCTCCAGAGCCTGCTTTCGCTGAGTTTCCCAGGGACAGGCAAAGCTGGCCGAGTTCTGAGCTGATGGAGGAGAAGAGTCTCTTTAGAAGCGATGCTTGATTGCTTTTCTTTTTATTTTCATTTATTCTTATACTGATGTGGGGTGCCAGCCTCAGTGCAGAACTGTTTACATCCGGCTCTCCCAGAACCCCCCTGGCCATAGGTGGGGCAGATCGCCATGTGGCTGCTCGTGGGAGAGGGGACAGAAGGTCATGCTGGTGTGGGCAGAGCCAGGCTTCAGGCAGGCAGACCCAAGCCTGAGTTGAGGACATCAGTGGCCACCAGGCATGTATGGCTCCTGAGATCTTGAAATGAGGCTTGTCTGAGGAACTGAACCTTTATTTGAGACAGGGTCTTGCTCTGTCGCCCAGGTGGTGTGAACATTGCTTCCCGCAGCCTTGACCTCCTGGACTCAGGCCATCCTCCTACCTCAGGAGTAGCCGGGACTACAGGTATGTGCCACCATGCTTGGCTAATTTAAAAAAACACTGTGGAGATGGGGTCTCACTATGTTGCCCTTGCTGGTCTCAAACTCTTGGCCTCAAGCAATCCTCCCGCATCGGCCTCCCAAAATGCTGTGATTACAGGCGTGAGCCACTATGCTCAGCCTCTAATTTTAATTGATTTAAAAATTGATACTCAATTCTGTTTCTGGCAAACTTCTAAGTTTATTTGAAACAATTTGGGTATGCAAATCTACTTTCTCAACTGTGAATTCTGTGAAACCTAAATACATATCAAATGCTTCTGATGAAAATGTAGGGTTCAAACTGAAATATGCTATCCGTGCAAACCACACGCTGGAGTTGGAAACTTGGTGAGAGAAAAGAATGTCCAATGTCTCTCTAATAAGTTTCTAAGTTGATTACATATTGAAATGATAATATTTCAAATGTGCTGGATCAAGTGCAGTGTATCACTAAGGTTGATTCCACTTACAAGCAAGGACTTGTCAGCTGTAAAGAGGGACGAAGTGCTCACTGGTACGCATTCATGGGAGCGGAACTTGGCATCGTGCTGGGGGGGAAGAGGCCAGGCACAAAAGGCCACACGTTGGCTGATTTCGTTTAGATGAAATGTCCTGAACAGGCACATCCATAGAGATGGAAAGCGGCTTAGTGGTTTCCATGGCTGAGGGTGGGCAGGGTTGAGGGCACTAAGGAACTTGGGGTTTCTTTTGGGGGTGGCAGAAATGTCCCAGCGTTGGAGCACATGGGCTGTGGGCTGGCAGGGATGATGTCTAGCAGGGCAGGGTGGGCATGTCCCCTTGACAGTGCTCTTACTGCCTCCCAGGAAGTGCTGTGGCTAGAGGATGGGGCAGGGGCCCAGGACAGGGTGCCATGGAAGGCTATCCAGGGTGTGGGCAGACTTAGAGCCCTGCGTACCTTGGCTGTGTCTTCCTCACACCAGGGCGTGCTGCCTCCCTTTCAATAAGAGCCAAAGCTTCCAGAGCTCGGCTGGCTGAGCCTGCCAAGGAACACATTCAGGAGGCTCCTCAGCCTCCCCCTTGCCTCCCATAACTCAAAACCCATTCCCATAATTCACAACCTGCCATGTGGGGCTTGGCTCATTCCCCCCAGCAGGACCGGACCTCCTCTCCTGCACTGGGGTGGCCTGATGGGCTGTGATGAGAGGCTCCTGCAGAAATCCCAAGACTACCTCCACATACTGGTGCCCAGCCTCCAGCCTACAGGTGCATGAAGTCCGTTCACGGAGGGAAGACTTCTCCCCTTCCTTAAGGCCTTAAGTGACCCTGAACTCACAAGCTCAAAGATGCAAGGCAGTGCTCACAGAAAACTGCCCCTGGTCTCCTAAATAGTCATCAGAAATTGATCAAAAAATGGCCATTTGGCAGTTAAGATTTCAGAGATTACGGTTTCTGCTATGATCGCTGGATTATGGCATCACTTTGAAAGCTGAACAAGAAGTAAAAAAATCTATATTCTGCCCTTTCAAACAAAATGTAAAACCCCCACCCAACAATTCAGTCAGGCATACCCTGACTCTATGGTGGGCCAGATGGTCTTTTTCTACACCTATAATTTCCCAGGAAATTGTGACAGCTGAATTTGCATGATGTAGCTACAAATGGAATTTGCACAATGTGGGTGTTCATGCGGTTTGGACATGAGAGTAGCTCTTTTATCCTGTCATGTTGGGAAGAGTCAAACATTCACTTGCCCTTCCTCATGAACCAAGCCAGTGCTCAGTGTTTTCTACATGGAGGATGGAAGGGTGGATGGAGGGATGTGGGAGGATGGGTGGAGGAATGTGAGAGGGATACATGGAGGATGAATACAGGGATGAATGGAGAGATGGGTGGGGGGTGGAGGGATGAATTTATTGGATAGAGGGATGAATAGAGAGATAGATGAGTGGATGGATGGAGGGATAGATGGAGGGAGGGATGGGTGGAAGAGTTAATGGAAGGACAGGTGGAGGGATGGATGGAGGGAAGAGTGAAGGAATGGATGGGTGGAAGGATGGAGGGATGGGTGAAAGAATGGTTGGGTGGAAGGATGAAGGGATGGATAGAAGGATGGGTGGAGGTATGGATGGAGGGAGGAATGGATGGGGGAGGGATGGATGGAAGAGCTAATGGAAGGACAGGTGGAGGGATGGATGGAGGGAGGGATGGATGAAGGGAAGAGTGAAGGAATGGATGGGTGGAAGGATGGAGGGATGGGTGAAAGGATGAAGAGATGGGTAGAAGGATGAAGAGATGGGTGGAAGGATGGGTAGAGGGATGGATGGAGGGAGGGATGGGTGGGGGAGGGATGGGTGAGGGAGGGATGGGTGGAAGAAAGGATGAAAGGATGGGTTAAGGGATAGATGGGGGAGTGATAAAAGGATGTAGGAGGGATGGGTGGAAGAATGGATTCCAGGATGGGTGGAGGGATGGAGGGAGGGAGGGATGGGTGGAGGGATGAGTGGAGAAATGTGGGAGGGATGGAGGGATGGGAAGAGGGATGGATGGATGGAAGGATTGAGTAGCAGGATATGGGAGGGATGGATGGAGGGGCAGATGGAGGGATGATGGGCAGACTCCAGCCTTGGGTGGAGCTCCTTTGAAGGAGAAGCTTTAGTCTATCTCTGGGACGCTGGCTGTGGAATGAGGGCCCCTTGGGCCTTGGACCTTGTGATGAAAAGTACTGAGACCTTGCAGCAGGTCTTGGTGTTTCGTTGGGGAAACCTGGATTGAGAAAGTGCCCAGTCTGGCTAGATGTGGTTCTCTGGGGAGGCCTGTATGGAAAGAGACAGTCTTGAATGAGAGGTAAAGTCTCAAGCCCTTCCACTGTGGCATGTAACATGCTAAACATGCATTCCTGTTCAGAAACCAGATGCTGGGGCTGCCCAGTGAATGAGGACACTAGTTTGATGAGGGCAGCTCTGCAGAAACCCAGAAGGGGGCACTGGGCTCGTCATAGAGTCAGATTGTCCTATGCTACTGCCCTTGAAATCATCATTTATCAGCAGAAAACAAAAGCCAACCTCTCTGCTAGAGGCATGGGAGAAGGTGGAACTGGGTTCGAATCTGAACTCTGCCTGCTGCACAACCTTGGCCAAGTCCCTCAAGCTCTGTGAGCCGATCTCATCTGTGGCACAGTACGATGACAGTACCTGCCTCCTAGGATGTAAGCGGTCCTGGCTCAGCGCCTGGGTGCAGGAAGGATGTGCTGAGTGGTAGCTGGAGCATCACTCGTGGTGTGAGTGACTGGGCAGAGAAGCCAGAGGGGAAGGCCAGCCATGCTGCCCACACAATGGTGGCCACCTGTTTACCCATCCCTCTTACACCCTTTCATTCCCTCCCCGCCCATCCCTAAACCCATCCCTCTCACATTCCTCCACTCATCCCTCCATTATCTGTCTCTCCCTCTAGCCATCCCTCCTACTTCCCTCCACCCATCCCTCTACACCATCCATCCCTCCACCCATCCCTCTATCCATCCCTCCATCCATCTATCCATTCATCCCAGAGGTCTCCAGAGGTCTCCTCTCTGGGGCCCCAAGGATCCAAGAGTCCCCAGGCTTCCAGGACCTACAGGGTGCGTGGAGACACTTCCAGCTGCCCTTTCCTCCTCTAAGTCAGATTTGGGCTCCCCGGGTTCCATTTCTCAGCCTTGCTACTCCCGCCTGAACTAAGGGCCCGTTTCGGCACCGCAGTGGGGTGAGGTGGGGGTGTGTGTGCACATGGGCTCCAGGGCTCTGTGCTCTGCTGCTGACTCAGTATCCACGTGTTCTAGACATCAGATCATTTTCCCTCCCTCATCACCTACCCACCCAAATCAGTGCATCCAGGGACAGCAGAAGGTTCTAGGCGTGAAAAGCGCTTGCAGGAGCAGCATGTATTTGGGGGTGCACACAGATGTCAGCGAGGCTTGGCTTTTGGACTTGACTTTTCCATGTGCTGCTAGTGACCTCGGGCAGCTCACCAATGTGCTTGGTGAGTCAGTTCTATGTTGGACCACTCAGTACAATAATAGTGATGAGAAGTGATGGAATGGCTTGGTCAGCCACTCAGACTCAAGACACAGGATTGGCTAATGCAGCTATGAATGCTGCTAAAACATAATGACTTGGAAGTGGCAATGTGGGATGTAAGTGCAATCTTTTTTTTTTTGAGATAAGTCTTACTCTTGTCGCCTGGCCTGGAGTGGAGTGCAATGGCGCGATCTGAGCTCACTGCAACCTCCGCCTCCTGGGTTCAAGTGATTCTCCAGCCTCAGCCTCCGGAGTAGCTGAGATTATAGGCATGCACCACCACACCCAGCTAATCTTGTATTTTTAGTAGAGACGGGGTTTCTCCATGTTGGTCAGACTGGTCTGGAACTCCCGATATCAGGTGATCTGCCCGCCTCGGCCTTCAAAAGTGCTGAGATTACAGGCGTGAGCCACTGCACCCAGCCCTGTAAGTGCAATCTTATGTATTATAACGTCAATTCACATAGCAATAGTGTTAAAGTATGCCTCAATAAATAAGATTGTATTGCCTTTTACTATTTTTTTGAGATGGGGTCTCACTGTCAGCCGGGCTGGAATGTAGCGGTACAATCTTGACTTGATTCAATCTCTGCTTCTGGGCTCAAGTGATCCTACCACCTCAGCCTCCCAAGTCGCTGGGACTACAGGCGTGCACCTCCACGCTAGGCTAATTTTTTGTATTTTGGTGGAGACAGTGTTTCACCATGTTGCCCAGGCTGGTTTGAACTCCTGAACTCAGGGATCTGCCCACCTCAGCCTCCCAAAGTGCTGGGATTAAAGGCATGATACACCACATCCAGCCTCTGATTACATTGCTCCCCCACAACTTTTTTTTTGAGCTGGAGTCTTGCACCGTTGCCTGGGCTGGAGTGTAGTGGCGCGATCTCCGCTCACTGCAACCTCCACCTTCTGTCTTCCTGAGTAGTTGGGATTACAGGCACTTGCCACTACGCCCAGCTAATTTTTTGTATTTTTAGTAGAGACGGGGTTTCACCATTTGGCCAGGCTGGTCTCGAACTCCTGACCTCATGATTTGCCTGCCTTGGCCTTCCAAAGTGCTAGGATTACAAGCATGAGCCACTGCGCCGGGCTACATTGCCTTTTATAAGCTGCCTCTGGATCAGTTTAATGCATCTGTGGCTTCCCTGAAAGACCATATTGGATTAAAAAAAATAATATATTGTATTTGAGAATCATAGTTACAGCCAGGCATGGTGGTTTATGCTTGTAATCCCAATACTTTGGGAGGCTGAGGTGGGCAGTTCACGAGGTTAAGAGTTTGAGGCCAGCCTGACCAACATGGTGAAACCTCATCTCTACTAAAACTACAAAAATTAGCCGTTCGCGGTGGTGGGTGCCTGTAATCCCAGCTACTTAGGAGGCTGAGGCAGGAGAATCACTTGAACCCAGGAGGTGGAGGTTGTAGTGAGCCAAGATTGCACCACTGCACGCAAGCCTGGGTGACAGAGCATGATTCCATCTTAAATAAAATAAAAATCATAGTTCTAGTGATTTGCTAAATTTTGCCTCCAACGAGGCAGAAGCCCAGAGAGTGCCCATCTGTGCAGAAGAGAGACAGGGTGTCACTGAGGGCTGACTGGGTCCTCGCTGGCTGTAGAGGACAGGTGGAAGGGTGGAAGTATGTCCAAGGAGAGGGGGCCTGGGCTTGGTGGGGGCAGGACAGGAGGGGGCAGGGCTGGACAGAACATGAAGGTGAACTGCTGGTACTCGCTGCCCACGTGGCTGCCAGGGAGAACGGGAGAAGGACTCAGGAGGACGCTGCAGTTTATTGGTCAATGCCTGAGGTCATGGCAACACTTAATTCCTTTGTGGTTTAAAAATCAACTCCTGCCCAAGCCCCAGTCCAGGCCGACTTAGTTCTCCCGTGCCTGTCCCTCCATCTTCCACGTCACCTTCTCCCAGTCAGCACAACCAGGCTCCATCTTTGGTTGTCAACTCAAGCCTCGGTTTCTCCTGGAAGCCTTGACACCCCCTCCTGGGGTGTGTCCTGCCTTGTGCCTTCCTGCAGCGACTGTGAACCTCCCCCATACTGGGGTACATGGCCCTTGCTGGCATTTCTCACTCCCTGGTTTCATCGACTTGGCTGGACTGGCAGCTGTGCACTGGCAGTCTGTATATGCAGCTCCCCCTGGAGCCCATCTCCAGGGTGTAACAGCACTCTCGCCCCCTGGAGGTGTGCGGCAGGCAGTCCTGGAGGAAGCCCGGAGTCCAAGCGGACGAGGATCTTCCGGAACAGCGTCCCCTCTATTAGTCTTCCCAGCATGTGCCTTGAGTTGACGCAATTGCGATCTGCTCATTATACCCATGCTAAAGGTTACAAAGGGAGGTCCTGCCCTGTTTTCTTTACCTTTTATTTTATTTTTGAGACAGGGTCCTACTTTGTCGCCCAGGCTGGTCTTAAACTCCTGGACTCAAGCCATCTGTCCGCCTGAGCCTTCCAAAGTGCTGGGATTACAGGTGTGAGCTGCTGCACGCGGCCCCACCAAGCTTTTATTCATACACATCCATCCTGCCCTCAGAGCCTCCGAGGATTCACTCACACTCACCGGGCCGGTGAGTGTCCCCACTATGCTGATCAGGACTTGGAAACCAGAGAGGCCTGAGTGGTTCAGGGCCACCATGTGAGGTCTGTGTCTCCTGACTAGTCTCTTCTCAAGGCTCAACCCCAGACTTTCCGTGCAGCCCCGCCTGGGTGCAGCCAGGTGCCCGGTGGTGACAGAGCCACCAGGGGGCAGCAGGTGCCCACGGCATTGTTGGCAGGCAGCTGCCTGGGTCCCCTCTTGGCCAGAGCAGGCAGGCCGAGGATAGTGAGGACAGACGCCCCCTTGCTGAGGGAGCTGCCTGGGGAAGCTGCCATGGTGCATCACTGTGCTATACTCGGCAGAGGGGTTGGGAGAGCTGGTAGCTCTTCCTCTGGGAGCCCTTTCTGTCCCAGGACCGTGGGAAGCCTCTGGATAATTTATCCACCCATTCTTCACATGCAAGTCTGGCAGGAGAGGTGGAGTCTCCCCACTCTACAGCCGAGGAGATGAGGCTTTGCACAAGGAGGCTTCAGTGGGGGCTCTCAGATGGTGCTGGAGGGACCGGCTCAGGCTCCACTCTTGGCTTTCTGATTTACTAGGGAGATGCCGAGGGTCCACCTGCTGCCCCATCTTCCTCTGGTGAGGAAGGCTCTCCTGCTTGCCCTAAAGGTGCCCACTGCTGCTTTCGCAGGGAAAGGCAAGAGACAGGAGCTGCCGGCTCACCTGTCACCTGGCCTGAGTTTACTGCTACAGGGGCCAGCTCTGTCCTGACCTCTCTGTGTGGGCCAGACCCTAATCTGGGACCCCCTGCTTCCACCTCAAGTGGAGAAGGCGCAAGTGTGACTCTCTGCAGAGGCCAATTCCCGGGACAGGACACCCATCGGAGGCCCTGGGCCCAGGGGACCCTCTCTGGGTTCGCATAGCCTCGTTCTGGCCCCTGCACCGGGAAGACAAGGGTTAAGGAGTCCGGGAGTGCTGCCCAGTGCTGTCCCGGCTTGTAGAGGCCCAAGGTTCCACCAGAGTCCAGGATGGGAGCCCTCAGAAACCGCACCCGGCCTCCGGGGCTGAGCCTGTCTCAGAGAAGGGCTTGGACTTGCCTGGTGTCCCCCAGTGAATCAGCAGTGAAAACCCGCGGTTCCGGCAGCTGAGCCAGGATCCATATAATTTCAGTTGCAGAATCTGTTTATGTCCTTGAAGCCCCTCCCACCATCACACGTAGCCAGCTGGACAGAACTCGCCCCCACCACCCAGGGTGTGGCCCAGAAGGGAGACCGGGCGGATTCGCATGGGGGCCGGCTGAGACCCTGGGCAGAGAGCACCTTCCTGCTCTCACTTGGGTCACAGATTCCGCCCTGGACGCCAGGAACTGCCCGCTGGGCAGCTGCGAGTGGCCATGACTCTAGGCCAAACGCTGGGGAATCTTGGCCTTTGTGCAGGGTCGGGGGTCTTCCTGCGGGCTCCGGCCAGGAAGAGGGCGGAGAGCAGGAAGAGGGCTCTGGGGGTCCTGGGCCGGCGCGCCTTCAGCCTCAGCCTAGGATGTCCCGCCGGAGCGGCTTGATGGGCCAAGGGGGCTCAGGAAGCTTCGGCCCAGCCCGGGGGCCCCCTCCCGAGTCTGTCCTTTCCGAACGGCCACGCGAGGGCGCCCAGAGCGACAGGGGCCACCTCCTGATCTCCACAGAGGTCCAAAGGCACCCGGGAGGGACGCCCGGCCATCACTCCATGGGCGAGGTCGCTCACCCAGGGAGAAGGGCGCACCAAAGTCCAGACGCCCTCGGAGAAACTCAGCGGGACCAGGGCCTGAGCCGCAGCCCCAGCCCACCGCAACTTTGGCGGGCGGTCTCGGGGCAGGAAGTAGGGGGGCGGGGGCGGCGCTTGGGACGCGGGGAGGCGCCAGGCGAGTGCTCCGGCCCCGCCCCTGCCCCGCCCGGCCGTGGCCGCGCCCCCTGCGCCCCCAGAGCCCCGGAGCCCCGGAGCCGCGGAGTCGTCGAGTCGCAGCGCCGGGCGCGGAGACCGTGGGCGGGGCGAACAAAGCGGCGGCGACGCGGGCGGCCCAGGCCCGGGACGCGCGGAGCGAGCGACCCCGCCGGGCCTTTGTCTCGGGCGGGGCAGGAGCAGCGGCGGCCGCGGGGCGCTCCGAGCGCAGAATGCGGCGCCCGGCGGCGGGGATCGCGGAGCGCTGCGGCGGCTGGCGACGTGCAGCCCGGCCCGGGGCCCGCGGGCGCGCTTGTGTGTGAAGCAGGGGTCCGGCGCGCTGCCCCTGGCCGGCCCCGCGGGCCGCACGTGGGCGGGAGCAGCGGCCCGAGAGCAGCCCGGGAAGAAGGAGGAGGAGGAGGAGGAAGAGGAGGGGACGCGCGGCGGCGCAGCGGGGACCCGGGGCCGCCTGCGCGAAGCCCCGCCCCGGCCCCGAGCCCGGCGCGAGCGGGCGGGATGCCCCGCGGCCGCCGCACTTTGGCTCGCGCACTGCCCTGAGCCGGTCGGGCTCGCGGGCGCCATGGAGCAGTGGCGGCAGTGCGGCCGCTGGCTCATCGACTGCAAGGTCCTGCCGCCCAACCACCGGGTGGTGTGGCCCTCCGCGGTGGTCTTCGACCTGGCGCAGGCGCTGCGCGACGGGGTGCTCCTGTGCCAGCTGCTGCACAACCTCTCCCCCGGCTCCATCGACCTCAAGGACATCAACTTCCGGCCGCAGATGTCCCAGGTGAGCGCCCGGCGCGGCGGGAGAGCCCCGGGCTTCGGCGCTCGCGCTGCCGGACGCGCAGACGGAACGCGGGGGCTGGGGCGGCCGGGCTCGGGGACGCGGGCGGGCGGCGGGAGAGGCGATGGAGGGAGGGCGCGACACGGGGCCTTGGAGCCACGACCTCGGGAGGCTGGAAGTTGGCAAAGTCTCTCCAGCCCGGGACGCGCCGCCGCCGCCGCCCGCGGGCACTGCTCGGGTCCCGCGTGCGCCGGTTCCGCGGTCTGCGCCAACCGGGACTGGGGAGAGTCCGGCGTCCGGGCCCTGTGTGTGTGTTCCCTCCGTCCCCAGGGAGGCTGCCGAGTCCGGTGTGCGCCTCGTGGGGCGCATCCTCCGGCCTCTCGCCTGCCGGCCGGACGCCTGAGAAAGAGCAGGCGCGATCCCTGCGCCTGCCCGGGGCGCGGCTGCAGGGCCCGGGAGGGGCGCGGGGCGGGAGCCCTCGGGGCCGGAGGGAGCCGGTGCGCACCGGGCACCGCCCCCTCGCCGGCCTCCGCCTTTCAGGACCCGGGTTCGGGTCGGGCCGACTCGGTTATCCCCGAGACCGGGCCACTTGGCGCCAGTCGGGGCCCCCTTCGCTTCCCCAACACCCCCGCCCCTCCGTCGGGTGCTGAGGGTGGCCTTTGTCGCAGCGGAGGCACGCGTGCGGCCGCAGGGCCAAGCAGAAAAATGTCTGCTCCGCTGAACGGAGCTGCTTTTCTTGGCTTCTTAAAGGGAACTTGGTTAAGACTTGAGCAGAATCGAGGCTTCTGTCCTGTCTTCTGGGGGTCTCAGAATCCTTATCAGGGGCAGCTTAGAAGAGGTGGGGGGAGGCAGAGGGAGTGCCAGCCGGGTCCAGCCAGCGCCTACAAGGTGCGACCCTCCAGTGGGCTCGGCCGCTCTTCACTGCACGCAGCAACTCCACGTGGACAGGGACCATTCACCAGTGGGACGTGGTGCCCGGGAAGGAGGGAGAGTGAGTCACCAAACGTTCCAGGCTGGGCTGGGAGGCCACTGCCCTTTGGCGGTAACTGCGTTTCCTAGGAGACTGGGCCTTGTCTGCGGGGTTGGGGGCGCTGACAAAGGCCAGCCCTGAGGGGAATGGGCCGCCCTCCCACTCGGTAATGATTACCCAATTACCCAGGAGCGCCAGGGCCGACTCAGCAGGAGCCCTCAGGGGCCTCCCTGGAGCCAGCCCCTCTTCCTGCAGTGTCAGGTTTGAGTGGCAGGGGTGGCGGTCACGGCTGCAGAGGGCTTCCCCAGATCTGTCCTCTCACCTGTTCTCAGAGCCTCGCTGGGACTGGGAAGTCGACTGCACCTTCTGGTGGGAGAAACTGCGGAGATGGGCAGCTGTGGGGAGCAGGGCTGGGCCTCGAACCAGTGCAGGGGCTGCCCAGGCTGACTTGCTCCAGCGGGATTCACGGCTGCTTGCAGGCTGGGGCTCAACGCAGAGGCAGGGCAGCTGGGTCACCACAGAGGAGGCTTGGGAGAAAGCCAGCCTTGCCTGGTGGACTCACCCCCGCTGTGGTTTGGGAAGATGGGAAGAGGAGGGGGCCCTGGTTGTGGCAGGTGGCTTGGCTCAGCGCCTGCACTGGAAGTTCGAGTCTCTGGAACCATCCGCCAGGCAGCAGAACTAAGCCTGACACAGGCCCCTTGAGCCCTGCTGTCGGGCCAGTGGAAGGGTGTCTACGGAGCCTGCAGCTGGGCTGGTAGAGGATGTCTAGGGGCCTGGGCGGTAGGAGGCCTGGCCCAGATGGGTATGTGTCTGTGTGCTTCTGGGCTCTGACTGAATCCTGGCAATGTCCCATCCCACATAGGCAATGACCTCCAGTGCCTCAGTTTCCCCATCTGTGTCATGAGAACAGTCATAGCAGTTCCCTCTTAGCCAAGCTGGGAGGATTTGCTGAGGACAGGCACAGAAGGCACGCCCTTAGCACAGTGCCCAGAAAATGAACATCACCTGGCCTCTGACACGTTTCAGCTGTTTATCGAGGGCAAGCTCGACCTCCACTCCTCCGTCTTGTGGAGGGTGGGCCACCTTTAGTATGGCTGTTGTCTGCACAGGGACATCTGCGGGTGCTCCCTTAAGCCTCATATTGGCTGTGACAGCCCCATCTGTACATTCACACGTGGAGAAACTGCTTTACCTCCTCTGGCTGCATAGGGATTGGAGAAGGACTTCATTTCTCTGTCTGCTGTCTGCTATCTTGCTATCTGGGAAACTCACATTTCTTTCTTTCCTTTTTTTTTTTTTGAGATGGAATCTTTCTGTGTCTGAAGTTCGATGTTACCATCTCGGCTCAATGCAACCTCCACCTTCCGTGTTCAAGTGATTCTCCTGCCTCAGCCTCCTGAGTAGCTGGAGCTATAGGTGTGCGCCACCAGCTTTTTTTTTTTTTTTTTTTTTGAGACAGAGTCTTGCTCTGTGGCCTAGGCTGGAATGCAGTGACGCCATCTCAACTCACTGCAAACTCCACCTCCTGGATTCAAGCAATTCTCCTGCTTCAGCCTCCCGAGTAGCTGGGATTACAGGCACCTGCCACCACACCCGGCTAATTTTTTTGTTTTTGTTTTTGTCTTTTTTTTTCAAGACGGAATTTTGCTCTTGTAGCCCAGGCTGGAGTGCAATGGCGCGATATTGGCTCACCCCAACCTCTGACTCCCAGGTTCAAGTGATTCTCCTGCCTCAGCCTCTCAAGTAGCTCATATTACAGGCATACACCACCATGCCCAGCTAATTTTGTATTTTTAGTAGAGATGGGGTTTCTGCATGTTGGCCAGGCTGGTTTCGAATTCCCAACCTCAGGTGATCCCCTGGCCTTGGCTTCCTAAAGTGCTGGGTTTACAGGCGTGAGCCACCGTGCCCTGCCCACACCCAGGTATTTTTTGTACTTTTAGTAGGGATGAGGTTTCACCATGTGGTCCAGGCTGGCCTTGAACTCCTCAGGTGATCCCCTGGCCTCGGCCTCCCAAAGTGCTGGGTTTACAGGCGTGAGCCACCGCGCCTGGCCGAAACTCATATTTCTTAAGGGATGAGGGTGGGGGACCCATCACCCATGGTGGTTTGGGTCATGGAAAAATCACATCTGCCCTTTCTTATCTGCCTTGCTGTGGGCCAAGCACAACGGTAGGTGGGGGGTGCCGCCTGTGTTTGATAGGTGAGGCCGTCAAGGTTCAGAGAGCTTGAGTGACTCCCCGCTGCCCCGAACCCACCACTCCCTCTCACCCAGATCAGGAAGTGGCAAAACCATCATGGGGATTGCAGTCTCCCTCCCAGGACTGTTGAAATGAATGGTGCCTTCCGCCATTCCTAAGCTGCTCTCTTTTGGACTCTGAGACATGTCCTGGCCTCCTTCTTGGGTTGTCACGGTGTGTGTCTGTTTTCATGGGGTGGCTGGGGCTGGGGGTAGGGGCCTGTGATCCCTGGCTGGTGAGTTGCAGGGCCCACAGGGTCTCCCACGTCCCTGCCAGTCCTGACATGTCTGGCACTATGATGTTCATGGAGGGCTCTATGATGTTCCTCCTTCCGGAATTTCTCCTGGCTTCTCATGGTGGCATCCTGGTTTCAGAGGACTTGGAGTACCCCTCCCACGTTGAGTTTGATCTAGGCTGGGTTGTTTGCCCTGATGGAGCGTCATAGCAATGTGCATTTATGCAGCATCTGCTGTGTGCAGAGCCGGGGCTCGGAGGTGGTCACAGAGATCCCTGTTGCCCACTTGCTCATCTCTCAAGCTGGCAGGATCTACTTTATTTTATTTTATTTTTTATCCAGAGTGCCTGGAAGCCCCGTGGGTTTAATTAAACTAATTGGGTATGGCCACAATTTGCTGACCTTAACAAGATACCAGGTATGTCCAGAGCAGCTTCGGTCGGGAGGTCCTGAGGTTGCCTGTGCCAGTGTCCGCAGTTTGCACCCTTAGGGCACCACCCGCCCAGCCTCTGACTTGCCCACGTCACCCTGGTTGCCTCCTCCCCATAAAACAGATCAGGGAGCCATTGCTGGGACACCATGCACAGGCTTGGTCCCGCATGTGCCAGAGCTTGCCCCCCACCTCCCCCTCAACCCCCCTGCTCCCTGCCTCTTCCTGGACATGCCAGCCTGGCGACGTTTTTGGCACCCCCCTCCAGGGCCTTTTCCATGTGTGCTATCATGAGCTGTGCCCTTGCTGGAAGACGACCTCTCCTTCTAGCCCAGTTCTTCCTGTAGGAGCTGGTGTAGGGGCTGCCTCCCCTTGGCAGCCAGCCTCCTTGGGTTTCACCCTGTCCCCACCCTGTCCTGCATGTGCTTCGAGCCTCAGTCTCACCCCCCAGTGCTCCAGGCGTCTCTCTGGCCTCGTCCTCTCCACTCTTTGTTTCATTACATGGTACTTTTGTTGCTGGTTCTGCAAAACTCAGTGGCTAGACAGCTGGAGCGTGTGAAGGGTGATTCTAATGAGACACTGAGTATTTCCGGAGCACCTTCATGTGGCTGCCCCTCTCCAGGTGTGTGCCTCTCCAAGGCAGGGCCACGGCTGGGCTTGCTCCTTTCTGGGTCCCTCCGAACCCAGCCTCCCTCTGTTCATTTACCTCTTTGTCCCTCTGTGCCTTCATTTGAGGAATAATTCCTGAATCCCTGCCATGTGCCACACAGGCTTTGTGCCTGCGAGGGAGGAGAACAGGCTGGGGCTGTCCCTGCTCTCATGAAGCTTCTGGTCACACAAGGACCCCATCGGATGTTGATGAGGTGCTTGGTGACTGAAAAGCCAGCCACATGGAAGCCCCGAAGGGCTCCCGGTGCCAGCAGAAGGGGCTTGGCTGGTGCGGCCGAGGTCCAAAACACTAAGCTGCCAGGAGCAGAGGAGGTAATGCTGGTTGTAAGGAAGACAAGGATGTCTTTTCTGTTTTGGGGGTTAGATTTTATTTTCTAAAAAAATTTGAAAATATCTCAGTCATAGGAAAAGTTGTAAGTATAGCACACGTGAGTTTTTCTTGAACCATTTGAGGGTAAG